TGATGTCGCAGTCGTTTAGAAAAGAGTGTAATTGTGCACTTTTTTGCATTAATATGTATTCTCCACTTCCGGAACCATGGTTCTAAGAGGCGTATGGCAGAGTTTAACTTTCTGACTGCTATATCTATGCTGCCTGACCGAACACTAATATTCGTGTCATCAGCATAGACCGATATGGCTATGTTGGAGTCATTTTCAATTGAAGGAATGTCATTAATATAAATATTGAAGAGTGTGGGTCCAAGTAAGCTGCCCTGAGGCACTCCGGCCTGAATGGGGCGTAGGTTTGAATAATAGTTTTTGTGCATTACAAAAAAGCATCGATTCTGGAGGTAGTTATGTATTATATGAATGAAGTGAGGTGGAATTTTGGCCGAAATGAGTTTAGCAATCATCCCGGTGTTCCAGACCTTGTCGAATGCTCGTTCAATATCCAGGAATAAGGTTACTGTAGCTTTGTTATTGTTGAAACCGTGCGTAATGCGCTCCACATTCCTTAACAACGCATGTGTTGTGGAGTGACCTCTTTTAAAACCGTATTGGTCATTTCTGATAGCTTGCAGCTTCCTAATTTCGAAGTTTAGTCTTTTTAGAATGATTTTCTCTAGAAGTTTACCTAAAGAATTTAGAAGGTTTATTGGTCTATAATTTAGTGGGGACGTATGGTCTTTGCCTGGTTTCGGAAGCATAATAATTTTTGCCTCTTTCCATTGTGTAGGAAAATAATTTAGGGCAAGTGATCTATTAAACAGTTTTGCAATAAATTTGAAAACAAACCGCGGCAGATGCTGAAGTATTATATTCTGTATCCCGTCAGGCCCTGCTGCTTTGCGTGATTTGAGGTGGCGGACAATCCAAGCGATTTCTGAATGATTTGTGGCCCTCATCCGGTCTGTGAGTGGCTGTGCAAGGAAGTCATTCACTACCTGTTCAGTGCTAACTGTAAAAGTACGATCAGCATCCAAATTGGTAGTGAAAATTTGTTCCAAGNTTAATGTTGTTTAGGGAAACAGTCGCTGTTTATTGTGAGAACCATACGGAACACACAGACACACTCTGTGGGCAGAATGCGGAGTTTTGGTAAGTTAAAGTAGGTGATACAAGTAGTAACCACTGGTTTTTGAACGGGTTAATACTAATATAAAATGTCACAAAATATCAACGCACATGGTCTCTGTATGTGGTTGAGGCTTATTTTCTTCAGTATGAATTATATGTATAAAATTTGAACCACTGCCTCCTTGCAAGGCTTCCTCTCTTATCGTGACGGTTCTTCTCACTTTCTTCAGCAAGAATCACCAGTATAAGCTGTCTTCAAATGTTCTTCCTATAAGGCTGACGTTTGTTGTGATTCTCTTCAGTAATAATTAATACAACTCCTTTAATAGTAATGAGCACATCTTCATAAAATGTCTGTTAATCTGAAGTTTCTCGTAATTCGCTTCACTGAATAATATACCAACGTACTCTGCACATGAAACGTCAATAAACACTGTAGTATTTTAGAAGGTCACAGCTACCTGCTTCATGTTAATTTTCTGCTTTGCTTACTGTTCAACCCTGAAGATGGAGGCGATATGTTCCTTCGAAATGTCGGTTGACTTTCAACGGGCTACATGGCGTTATATTGGAAGCGGAAGAATCTATTCATTAACGAACACAACTTCCCTATAGGACAATTTCTGTCCTCATGAAGATTTTCAAGATTTTATTCAGCAGATGCTACCAACATACAGTTCAGCTTCCCCTTGTAATGCCCCCTCAACTGCCGTCCAATTTTTGTTACGTTCCCTCGCCTGTATTTCTGTAATTCTCTATTATGATCTTCATGCCTCACTCAACGTCACACAACTTCAGTCACTGACATGAAACGAATCCTTCTGTAGGATCTTCCCCTGTCATTTATACTTTCAAGGAATTCCATACTATTCCACAAAACAAATGGTCATCACCAGATACCGGATTTTGATGACATGTCATCTTTTTTTCCTTGTATCATATGCGATGCTCTTAAATATATAAATCTCGGATAAGAGCTGCTGGCTACAGAAATGTAAATTTTATAGGTAATTTTTTGTCATTTTTTGACATTTTTAGGTTTAAGGTCATTTTCTCTTTTGGGGGATAATTTTTTGGTAAATTTTTGGACTTTTGAAGGTATTTCTTGTCATTTTTTGGCAATTTTAGGGATTTTTTTCATATGTTTTCTGAAATGCGAGTAACATGGAAGCGAAGTGTTCTTTCTTTTCTCCTTTAGGTCATTTTTCTGAATTTTTTTTGTCATTTTATAGGTCATTTTTTAAATATTTTCGGATCATCAAAATCCAGGCCCTGATCATCAGTCACTGAAATATCCCCTCAACAAAACCCTACCCTAGACCAATCTAGCACAGTTCGTATCATCATTGTAGCTTACTCTAAGATCCATTTAATATTAACCCCCAATCCACCCTTTCATAACACAGGTGGAATTTTGCATCCAAATGTTTCTAGCATCATTATTTTCGCAAGCCTCAACGGTCGTGGCCTATTTCCTTCAAGCGATACTTAGGGGGCGGGAAGGAGTAATGATAAGAGCATTTGGATTAGGACAAGAGAAAGATGTGTTAATACTGAAAGGTAAAACATGGAAGTTAGGATGAGAGAGAACCCGACATAACGACTGAAGGAGCGAAAGAGAGAAGAGGATGTACAGAGCTAAGCAGAGGAGATGCCAGGAGAGGAACACTATGATGTACAGCAGGAATAGGGAGAGTGGAGGAGATCAGGAGGAACAATGAACAGGCGCTTCCTTCCACACAAACAAAGAGAAAGAAGGTCGTATCATATTAAGGAGTGAAAGAATAAGATTTAGGATTAGTTATTAGGATAGTAGTAGGATGCAGGAGTAAAGATAAATGACAGAAAATCGGAAAATATTCACCTATACCCAGATATAAAGAGAAAAGTGAGCAGATAATAAGAAAGCACAAAAATGAAACAGAATTTAAATTACATTACCAGTAATTAATAAGTATATTAAGATCTTAGTGTATAAGAGATTTTTATAATATGCAAACAATAATTTATGCGGAACAAAGAATCAAACTCCCGACACCTCAGAGTCGAAACTGCAACTAGCTTAATGAGGAATTCAAAAGAAAGTAACAATGATGGGGGAAGAGTACAAACAAGCACACTATCTAAAACTGATAGAGTGGTGTTATATAATCTAAGCATTAATAATTTCTAAGGAATTTAGCACTCTGAATGAGTAAATGCAGGCACTAAGCTTCAGTATGCATAGTAATTCTTATAATTATATATTTTAGAATATGTAACTTACCTGTTACCGTAGTAGCGACAGCGCCCGATGTTGTTACGTCACCGCTGGCGAGGGAGGGGATGTCCTCCAATATTAATGAAGCAGCATGTAGTGTTATGTAAAATTTCGCCCTCCCTCCGGTAGGAAGAACCTTATGTGTTTTTATAATTAACTCTGGCTGTATTACCAGATACTTGAATTCTACAAATACCAAAGAACTTTACTAGACCGTATCCTTTACCTTCAAATCTTCAGACTTATCTCATAATGATTCATTTTAATATTAACCTGTCAAATCGGTCTCTACCATCATTTAAAAAAAAATCTGTCAATATTAGATGTGAAAAACATGCTTACGTATCCTAGCTACATTGCCAGCCAATCCAATTTTTCGTTTTGCTTGTTTGCCATAGCTATGTACAGAAAAGTCGATAAGCTACGTTTTGAAGTAAATGTAGCTTCAGCTTCCGGTCAATGGTTTCCGTTGTGAATTTGTGACATGATCATATGACATATCTAAATTATTAAAGGGATATATCTATATTCATTGTATGCATTTGTGTTGTATCCTACTGTCGTTCAGAAGAATAACAAATGAGTGAAATCCGAAGTCTGTAAAAACTACTGAATTGCCGTTAGCTGACGCAATAACAAATATTTTTGCGAACAGATGAATCAGTCATGATCTATAACTAATCGCCAGGATGCGAGTCAGAATGGCGAATTTATTCCGTAAAACCTGATAGGAATTTTAATTGTTTCTTGCATCCTGTTGTGTATTTAATCAATATTTGGGTCAATTTTACCGACTACACAACACGTTTCTATTATTATCACACTACATGTTTCGACCTCAAGAGGTCATATTATTGAGCGTAAGCCTGAATAAGATAGAGGGTCGAATAAGTGAGAAAACGGATGTGATTGCATGTAATTATACAGTTGTTCGTACACCTGAGGATGACCTCTTGAGGTCGAAACATGCAGTGTGATAATAATAAAAACGTGTTGTGTAGTCGGTAAATTGACTAACCCGGTAGGAATGTTGTAGATTCGACTGTGATTATATGTTCTCTCTTGAGTTGCGAATTTTAACACGAACAGGTTTGAGTTGTGCTTTCCGCAGAAGAATTAATCAATATATTTTTCCGAGGTGTACTCAGGACCGGTGTGATAATTGCGATTTTGACTTTTTATGGGTTTTGTTTTAATTTCCTGCACCAGCTGACATACAAATATGCGTATTTTCAGGTTGAAGTAGTTGTCCATTTTAATATGGGCATTAGCAGCAAACAGATGCTACACTCATTTGTATGCCTTCCAGGGACAGGGATATTAAGACATACAGCGTACGTTATGAAGAACTGTGCATTTCAGAGAAGACCTGTGTAACAGAAGAGAATACAAGGATACCAACAGCACAGGTAATGTTCATTTTCTTAATTACATTCAAACTGTGTTTATTGTTGGTCTCATGGAAGCTCTTTTGTTGTTATATGTTTTCTGTTTTGTTCTGTTTTCTTTCTCTCTCAGGTCCCGCTCATATCCTGCGCCTCACTGTGGCGAGCGGGTGAAACAAAGAACGGTGCATTCCCGCAACTGAAATCATTGTTACTTTGACTGTGTCAGCCTCCATTTTAGTTGAGGCCTACGTGTGTATGGTTTTGTTCCGACTGCCTGTCAAATATATCAGAATTGTTTCATGACTCTGCATAAACGCCTGTTAGCTTCTCTGGTTTGTTGTCTGTCGGTTTCTCNGTTTTTTTCAGAGACCAAATTTTACTCCCATACAGAACCACAGGAAAAATTATAGTTTTATATATTCTAACTTTTATGTTTTTAGACAACAGACGAGAAGATGAAAAGTTCTGGACTGAATGGTAGCAAGCATTACCCGAGTTCAAACTCCTCACGCTCCTAATTCGTTTTGGTATTTATGTCCCTTTCGTTAAATCCATGAACCTGACTTAATTTCAGACTATATTTGACAATATTACTACAACTTTATGTAAATACATTTGAAT